GCAAGTTGACAGCATTTATATTAAGGGATATCAGCGATCAGTGATTTCTATCCCCTATTAATTTAGTTTTCATTGTTGGTGATGTTAATTTGTGTGTTTCCCTCTTTTTTGGATTTGCTGTTATGAGACCATCAATTGTCTGTGTTTTTGTTGATGTAGCCAACTTCCTTGGGTTGGAGTTTTCCTTCTAGTATTTTGTGTAGAGCTGGTTTTATGACTAGGTATTGGTTAAATCTTTTTTGTCATGGAATATCTTGTTTTATCCTTCTGTGATGTTTGAAAGTTTTGCTGGGTATAGTAGTCTGGGCTGGCATCCATGGTCTCTTAATGTCTGCACAACACTTGACCATGACCTGGTTTTCATTGCCTCCAATGAGAAGTCAGCTGTAATTCTGATAGGTCGGCCTATATATGTTACTTGGCCTTTTTTCTTTTGCAGCTCCCAATATGCTTTACTCTGTATGTTTAGGGTTTTGACTATTATGTGGTGAGGGGACTTTTTTTTGATCCAGTCTATTTGGTGTTCGATAAGCTTCTTGTATCTTCATAGGTATATCTTCTTTGGGTTGGGAAAGTTTTCTTTTATGATTTTGTTAAATAATATTTTCTGTGGTTTTGAGTTGAACTTCTTCTCCTTCTATACCTATTACTCTTAGGTTTGGCCTTTTCATGGTGTCCCTTAATTCCTGGATATTTTGGATTAAGCTTTTGTTGGATTTAATGTTTTCATTGACTGATGAGTCTATTTTCTCTATTGTATCTTCAGTGCTTGAGATTCTCTCTTCCATCTCTTGTATTCTGCTGTTCATGCTTGCCTTTGTGGTTCTTGATCATTTTCTCACGATTTCTGTTTCTATATTTCCCTCAGCTTTTATTTTATTTATTGCTTTCAAGTCTTGGATACTTTCTTTCATTTGATTGCTTGATTGCTTTTTCTTGGTTTCTTTAAGGGATTTGTTGATGTCTTCCAATTTTTTGTTTGTCTTTTCTTCCATTTCTTTGATGCAATTTTTCATTTCCTCTTTAAGAGTTTCAAACATTCTCCTGAAGTTATTTTTAGGTCATTTTCTTCTGCTACATCTATATTTGGTTATTCAAGTCTTGCTGTTGTAGGGTCTTTAGGTTTTACTGGTGTCATGTTGCTCTTCACGGTGTTGCATGTGTTCTTATCTTTTCTACTCATCTTTTCCTCTAATAGGTATCTTTGGGGGCTGTCTGTGATTCTGTTGATTAATCTTCTATGTGCCAGTGAATCCAAGGCTCAGATGGTTGTTCCTCATGGTACAGTCAGTGCCTCTTGGTTCTAGTTACCCCTTTGGTCACTCCATGTTCCTGGAGGTCACTCAGCACTCCCAGGCTTTGCTCCACTCCCTTGGAGTTTGCTGTCTCAGGCCTGCTCTAGCCTAGGTTGTTGGCTCAGACCTGTTTCTGTAAATGTCCCTGATCTGGATCTGTTCCTGAAGATGTAGAACACCCGAGTCTGTGCCTCCCTCTCCCAGTACAGTCTGCGCTTCCGTACCTCCCACGAGTTGAGACAAGGGCCTGGGAATTGAATACAAGACACAGACACAAGAGACTTGGGTCATTCGACAAGAGATCACCAAATGCCGATTTACTTAACTTAATGCCAAGCTAATATACCTTTGGCCCCAGTAAAGGAAATCCCTTCCCAGCCAGACGGGGGGCCAGGTGCGAAGGACCTGGCGCTGTGTGGGAAATTCCTTCACAGACAGGTAGGCGAGAGGTGGAGGGCAGTGACAGACAGTGGAGAGGGACCTTGGCGCCGTGTACTCTCCTGGGCAGGTGAGAAATTGCCACACCAAAGATATAACAAAGCCTACAGCTAAATCACCAGGCTAAAAGCAGAATGGGCACCGAAATTAACAGGAAGCTTGCTGGCTAGCCAAAACAGTCCTTGTGATTTGCGCCTCAAGGAGTAATGGGAGACAGGACCCTACAGAGGTCCCTGGCTTGGGGTTGGCACTATAAAGGACTCTGGCTCTGGTTTACCCCCTCGGAGTACCAGGTAAATGTCCTGCCCTGTGGATGTATCCTCCCTGAGGTAATCAGTGTCACCATGATTTTGTGGCAAGCATTTCCCAGGCTAACAGGCAGAGCTCTGAAGGTTTGGTTTTCTACCTGGCTGGACTGAGTGTCTAAGATGGATGGCATTCATTTGCATGTTTGTTGGGGAATTTCCAGAGAAGGTTGGCATTTGCAACAGTGGCTGGAGAGACAAGACCCACCCTGATAGTGAATGGTGCCCTCCAAAGATCTGGGAGCCAGGTGAGGAGATTAGGGGATCAGGGAGAATTGGGTGTGCAAGTTTCTTCTTTTCCTGAGGATTCACCCATTGTTGTAGCAGTCCTCCATGGACATCACGCTAACTCCTTATGCCTTCAATGAAACCAATGCTTGGGGGTTTCTACATCTTCAGCAGCAGACTGGAACTGCTGAGGCATTTACATCTGTACTGGACATGCAGGTGGCCAATGGTGGACTATGCCAAACCTTATTTTAACCAGTCCCATAAATCTTCCAGGGACAGAGAGATTGCTCACCAGGTAAAGATGCTTGCCACCAAGCCTGAGGAGTTGGGTTTGATCTCCAGAAACTATACACACACAGTAATAAAATGCTAATATGAATTAAAATATTGTGTAAAATATTAATAGCACGAATGATAAGTAGATCTCCTTCTATGCCCACCTCTTCCTCTGGAGAATGCCGACAAGTACAAGGGCCAACTGTGAATGGTTAATCGGCTGGGAAAACTGAAATTGAAGAGAGGTGGTCTAGATATTCCTGAAACGAGAGCAATAGCTACAAAACAAACAAACAAACAAACAAAAAAAAAAACCTGTCCACACTTTGTTCAGAGGCAGGTACTGGAAAAGATGTTGCAAATAGGGTGGATTGAAATGGTACAACCTCATTCTCACACCTTCCCCTTAGTCATAGTGCAGATGGAGGTGACCAGACAAACATAAACTCACATTGACAGGCATGAAGTTTCCTGATTGCATGTTTCCTCTTCCTATTCCCTCTCTCTACTTCTTTGCTTCTTAGTAGTATGTGTGTCTGTCTCTGTGTGTGTATGCATGTGTGAGAGAGAAACAGAGATAGACAGATACAGAGTTACAGATAGAGGCACACACACACACGCATACACAGAGTGGAATATGTATGACAGGGCTATGTGTGTCACAGCACACACATGGAGGTCAAAGGAAAAGTTTGGGTGTTGGTCCTTGTCCTCCATCTGTTGGATACAGAGGCTCACAGCCACTGTATATACAGGCTAGTGGTCTGTGAGCATCTGGGAACTATCCTGGTTCTACCTCCCATCTTACTGTAGGAGTGCTGGGATCACAAATGCACAAACCAATGACTCTGATATTACATTGGTGCTGAGTACTTGAACTCAGGACCACAAGTTTTCACAGAACCACCTTCCCTCTTACTTCTGATGAAAAGTGGTAATGGTACCTGCTATTGTAGTAGCCACCTTGCAAACTATAAAGAATACGAACTGAAAGTAAGGACCATCATGTGTTTTTCTTTAAACAGTAAAGTCAAGTGTCTGGTACTTGCATCCCAAATACTCCTAATGATGAGTATGCTGAAGAGATTGGACCCACTTCTAACGTAGATAAAGTGTCAAAGGCAGTAGAAGCTGTGTCGTAGAGTCCTGAACCCAGCAGTTTTGTGATCTCCATCAATTCTGCCATCTGAAGATGAGGATTACATTATTTTGTGCCCAGAAGAGCCTCACAATTAGAGATTAAAATTTAGGCCATGGTTGAACAAAGATTTATTTCGTGTTTGATTCCCTAATGGTTCAATTAATCTGGATTGCTTTTTATTTCATCCTCAGCTGACCTCAGGAATGGCTGCTGCCATTTTTCCCTCCTTTCTTGGGAGATGAGTTCATTAAGTGTATCTTCACTTATGCTGTGTGCTTTAGCGTACTCATCCCGGCATTAACATCTGTTCCTTTTACTTCTTCACAGATCTGATCTCACAAACCTCCAATCTTTACCAGAGATTTTATCAAATGAAAACTAGGGGTAGTTCTTAAACCAGATATGGTCACAAAGCACCCACTTTGGGTTAGCTAGAAAACAAAACTGTGATAACTGTGGCCTGAATTCAAACCCTCCTGCTGAAGGCAGAGCTACAAGTACATGGCAGAGCCGCTAGGTGTATATGGTTGCTGCCAAGAGGAAAGACCTGAGTTTGATCCCTGGGAACCACATGGCAGGTGAGAGTTGACTATCAGTTATTCTGTGACCTCCAGACATGTGAAATTAAAATTCTAAAAGTGAAGAAAGAAATTACAAGTTTTCTCTGGGCAGAGAGGTTTGGGTCAGTCTCCTAATGGACTTGGTGTGAATGGCATAACGACTTAACCTGTCCTTCTGTCCCTGTGACTGGTGTCCTGAGGCTGCTTCCTTCTTTAGCAGGAAGCTGGCCTGCACCCACACCTGATAACTGCCCTTCTTTTCCTGTCCATTGCTTTGCCTTTATTCTCAGTGTCTGTGTTTCTAAATAAATTAATTTCATGAACAGCCTGGGTGATCTTATGACTCAGGCCTGACCAATCAGAACATCATACTACCTAGAACACAGGGATTGGCTCAACAATAACCTCGTGACTAGTCTTGGCAATGGAGCTGAAGATACTCAGAGATAGGACTTTCTGTGAGGCTGACTGGGACTAAATGTCCTCTTCTCATAGGTGACCTTGGAGGACAGAGTGGGTTGATGTTGCCTGGGCTTCTACTGAACCAGGACAAGATGAGATGGTGAGCTCCTGAGAGCCACCTGTGAACACAAAAAAAAAAAGAGAGAGAAGAAGGGCAGGAGGAGGAGGGAGAGATTTTTGAAGGAAAACTGAGCCAAGATCAACCTGTGTTGAGGCAATCCAGCAGGGAAACCACTTGCGGGAGGGGGCGAGAAGGCATGGAGTCAACCACATAGACTCTGGAAGTCTGGTGACTATGAAAAGCCAACTCCTTTATTGAGGGTATGGCCAGGCCTCTCATATCCCGTCCCAAGGTCCCATTGGCTCAGGTGGCCAATTCTTCGGTGTGGTTCTTCCTTCATTGTCATCTCCGGTCATGTGTCCATTAGTCAGCACTCTCTGGGCATAACAGCAGGCCTTCGACTGGTTAAGGGAGGAAGTTCCTTCCATGCATGCTCTTGTGGGCTGGTTTTGGCAGGATGGCTGAGGCTTGGGTAGGCTGGTTTTGGCAGGACAGCTAAGGCTTAGGAAGGCTGACTGACAGTTTCTCCTACAAGCTAGGACCAGAAGTTCCTCCAGATACGTGGTCAGCATGTTGATAGCATGGAAAAACTGGATGATGTTGCTGTGTTGCAGGGACTTATGGATCGCAACTTCAGACCTGATGTACTCCTCATCATTGTACTCTTTCTCAAGCACCTTGATAGCCACCTGGGTTTTCGTTGGAAGGTGTTGGGCAAGATTCACCTCCCCAAATGCACCACACCCCAGAGATGTTAAAAATTTATAATTCTTCTTAAGGATGTCGTCTTCCTGGGTGCTGGCCATGATGGTTACCTCAAGTTCTCTGTATTTTGGAAAATTTCAAGGACACACGGTGCTAGGGAAAAATGATTATGGTTTTAGAATGTAGGTTTATAGGTATGAATTCTCTGTCTTGAAATCTGAGATAACCCAAACAACCTAATTATGTCTTTAAGACCAAGAAGTACAAGAATAATCCAGAGGACAATTGACATAAAGACACTGAACAAGAATGTGGCAGCATCTGCTCAGATTCTGGGGAGGAGCCCATTCTCAGACACAGGAACCACTGATCGCTTATGCTCTGGGAAAGTAGCTACACAAAAAGTAAATCTCATCTAAGAGAAACAAAGTCCACAAAGAGAAATGTGATATTTTCTTCTCCTGTGGGTTTAAGGAAGAGGAGGGCTGAGCGTTTATCAAAGAAACAGTATTAGTCACAGAGATGGAGTGGAGGAAGCAATAGAGCAGGAGAGTTTGACCAAAATGCAGGCAAGGCATGGATGGGAAATTTATAATGTAATTGCTATAGTTAGTTTACAGTAACACGTGTTCCATCTGAAGAAAATTGAAACCACAGTAGAAAAAAGTAAAGAATAAATGAATTTTGAAACAGAAAATTGGGTAATACTGAAAAAATAGAACATTCACAAATCAAACCTAGGATGTAAACTAATAGCATACATGTAAACATGAAATAGCAAAACTTAACCCTGGAACCAAAACCAATAACTGGAAAGGAACTCACTCTATCAAAGTCTAGTAGACTGGAGATTCCTAGTCTGTCACAGGCAATAGTCTGTAGACTTGTTCTGTAGACCAGCTACTTCGAGATACAAGGACAGGAGCCCAATGCAGGCAGGGCCTAAAACAAAGTAGTTGTTAGCATACTTCATAATGTTTCCTTGTGATGTCACCCAAAATGCCAGACTAATCATGGCTAGCCATATCTAACAGTGGTTTGACCAGGTTCTGTAACACAACCAGTATCTTGTGTGGGTGTGTCTATGCGTGTGTGTGCACATGCGTATATGCACTTTCAAGAGACACTGAAGCCATGGTGGTGGCACATGTCCTTCCCAAATAGAACTGGCACTTAAGTGGTTGGTGACACTGAATTAGAGTTCTCGATCACCAAGAGGCACAGGTCCTCTAGTTAGCCCCACATCTATGTGCTTCACAAATTCCCAAAGAAGGAGTCAAGTCCTGAGCACATCTGACATTCAACAATCCCTCTGTTACTTTGAATTAGAAATGTCTGATACAAATGGGGTGTTTGAACACATGGACTCACAAGAAAAGTAGATGGTATCATTTGGAAACTTTTTAGGTTGGAGCCATGTTAGGAGAACTCCATCCGTGGCACTGTCCTTGAGAAGAAACAGCATAGTCTTCATGTCCTCTTCTACTTCTTGCTTGAGTTTGAGTTGGTGACTTCTCATTTTTTCTGCCTTTGCCTTCAGGGTTCCAGCTAGCTTCCATGACTCTGACCCACCCCCATGGGCTCTTGTCCCTTCAAAACTAAGTCAGACAGGCATGCTCACTCTCTCTTAAGATGTCATGTTCATAAGTTTCTATCACAACAGAATGCTAGACAATAAACATGGGCTTAGCAGAGCTGGTTGCTCCCCATCCCCATGCTACCCATGCGGCACAGGAGTCAAGGCAGACTCATTGCTGTCACAGTCACACATTGACTGTATATGTTCCACTGACCTCGACCAGATTAAAAATGGTTCCTTCAAGCAGCCTGGATTTCAGGCAACATCCTCTGTAGTGTAGCACAGGTCTCATACTAAATGAACAAGCTTCATGTTTATACAGGAACTCCCTGTCCCTCAGAAACCTGCATTTCCTTGGAGACATGCTTTGTCTGACAGGAATGAAACTGTTTCAAACTCCCACTGTGTGGCCTTCATTGCTAGAATCCTTGTGCCTGGATGGAGAATCTCACCTAGCATCACCATCTCTCTGTAGCTCCCATCTTTTTTCTCTCCCTACTAATGATGGGCACTCATATACCAAGGAAAGATACAAGAATCTGTGGAAAACTTTAAAGTTAAAATATAAAACTAGGCAACACAATATGAAAGAACAAATAGGTTGACAAAACCCTGTATTTTCCTGGGACAATTCACCGACAGATCATACAATCTAAAGAAATGACTGTAAGGATCCACAGATATTCCATTAGCACATAAAACTGAGGCAAGTTTTATTTTCAAATCTTTGTATAAAACAAACTATTCACATAAAGCCCCTACTCTCTAGCCAAGAAGACACCTTAAAAAGAGATGAGTATCTGACAGAGGCAATGACTTATGAACATTAAAATATCCTTAAGTAGAGCACTTGCTCCTTCAATTCTTAGTCAGTGACACATTAAAATGATCATTCTTCATGATCAAGATACCTTCAGGGGAACACAGGAATTAATCTACATATAAAAATTGACAAAAGAGCAAGCATAGTCCAAAATCAAGAAAGCATAGTCACCCCTGAAAAGAAAAGAAATGCCATTGCCGGGGACAACATTAAATTAGAGAATGCTTTATTTTAAATAATCCTATTCTACAAGCATGAAAATATTTATTTTCAGCATAGTTAGAAGAGAAGATGAATTTCTTGTTAATAGAAATACTTCTCACCTGACATTGGCAGGGAGGTGACACACAGCTGGTGAGTCTTCAGCACAGTCAGGAATTCTTCACTGTGTGCCTACAAACCAGAAAGTTAAAAAAAAAAAACAGAGCACAGTGAAGAATGACAAAGAAATGAGATTGGATGAAAAGAAAAATCTCAGTCAGTGAAAGAATAGAAATAACACCCCGATTTAAAACAAAATTGAATATGATCAAAAAGAATCAATCAATAAATGTCAAACATGGAAAGTCGAACAGAAAGCAAGGGAAACTCCCTTTTTTCAGGATCACCCACTGTGAAATATCCAAGTTTGATTGAGTATTTTTGCATCCATGTTCATGAGTGAGATTGGACTGTATTTCTCTTTATTGGTTGAGTCTCTGTGTGGTTTTGGTATCAGAGTAATTGTAACCTCCATAAAAAGAGTTTGTCAATGTCACTTTTTTTTCTATTTTGTAGAACACTTTGAGGTATTTGCTCTTTTTGGAAGTTCTGTTAGAATTCTTCACTAAAACCTCTTGTCTCTGGGCTTTTTCTGGTTGGGAGGCTTCTGATAGCAGCTTCTATTTCCTTGCAGTTATTTAAAAGTTTTATTAAATTGCTCACCTGGCCTTGATTTAATTTTGGTATATGGTATCTATCTAAAAAAAATGTCCATTCTTTTTATATTTTCCAATTTTGTGGAGTGTAGTTTTTTTTTTTAGAATGACTTAATAATTCTCTGAATTTCCTCAGTGTCTGTTGTTATGTCCTTCTTTTCATTTCTGATTTTGTTATTTGGATGGTCTCTCTCTGCCTTTTGATTAATTTGGCTAAAGGTTTGTGTATTTTGTTGATTTTCTCAAAGAATAAGCTCTTTGTTTCATTGATTCTTTGTATTTTTTTTCTATTTTGTTTATTTCAGCCCTCAATTTGATTATTTCCTGTCTTCTACTCCTCCTAGATGAGTTTACTTGTTTTTGTTCGAGAGCTTTCAGGTATGCTGTTAAGTCACTAATGTGAGCTTTCTCTGTTTTCTTAATGTGGGTAGTTGGTGCTATGAACTTTCCTCTTAGCACTGCTTTCATGGTGTCCCATAGGTTTGGATATGTTGTATCTCTATTTTTTCCATGAATTAAAGAATTCATGGAAGTCTTTAATTTTCTTCTTTATTTCTTCCTTGACCCATGGGTCGTTCCATAGTGCACTGTTTAATTTCCATGAGTTTGTAGGCTTTCTGAGAGTAGTATTGTTCTTAGAGTCTAACTTTAATCTATGGTGATCCGACAAGACACAAGGGGTTACTCCAATTTTTTGTATCTGTGAAGGTTTGCTTTGTTACTGAGTGTGTGGTTAATTTTAGAGAAGGTTCCATGAGGTTCTAAGAAGACGGTATGTTCTATATGTTCTCTTGTGTCAGGGTGGAATGGTAATGTCTATTAAGTCCATTTGATTCATGACATATGTTAGTTTTCTTATTTCTCTGTTATGTTTCTGTCTGGTAGACATGTCCATTGGTGAGAGTGGGGTGTGGAAGTCTCCTACTGTTTTTGTGTCGGGTTTGATGTGTAATTTAAGTTTTTATAATGTTCTTTTACGTATGTTAGTGATCTTGTATTGGGGCATCGATGTTCAGGATTGAGACTACATCTTGATGAATTGTTCCTGTCATGAGTATAAAGTGTCCTTCTCCATCTCTTCTGATTGATTTTTGTTTGAAATATGTTTTTGTTAGATTTTAGGATAGCCACACCCACTTGATTCTTAGGTCCATTTGATTAGAAAACGGTTCCGAACCCTTTACTGTGTTGTAACGTCTCTCTTTGAGGTTGAAGTGTGTCTGTTGTATAAAGCAGAAGGTTGGATCCTGTTTTCATACCCATTTTCTTAGCCTGTGGTTTTTTTATAGGTGAATTGAGTCCATTAATATTAAGCAATATTAATGACCAGTGGTAGTTAATTCTGGTTATTTTTGTTAGTAGTGTTTGTGTGCATCACTTCTTTGAGTTACGCTGGTAGGGGTTTAGCAGATGCCTGTGTTTTTGTGGGTGCAGTTAGCTTTCTTGAGTTGGGATTTCCTTCTAATACTTTCTGTAGGGTTGGGTTTGAGGATATGTATTGTTTAAATATGTTTTTGTCATGGAATATCTTGTTTTCTTCATTGATGGTGATTGAAAGTTTTACTAGGTATAGTAGTCTCAGCTTGACTCCATGGTCTCTTAGTGTCTGCAGCACATCTATCCAGGACCTTCTGACTTTCATAGTTTTCATTGAGAAGTCAGATGTAATTCTAATAGGTTTACCTTAATATGTTACTTGACCTTTTTCCTTTGTAGCTCATAGTCTGTATGTTTTGTGTTTGATTATTATATGGGGAGGATTTTTTTTCTGATCCAGTCTATTTGGTGTTCTGCAAACTTCTTATACCTTCATAGGGATATGAACCTATCCTTCCTAACCTTCTTTAAGTTGGGAAAGTTTTCTTCTGTGATTTCTTAAATATATTTTCTGCGCCTTTGAGCTGGAGTTCTTTTCCTTCTCCTACCTCTATTATCCTTAGGTTTGGTCTTTTCATGGTATCACAGATTTCCTGGATGTTTTGTGTTATGAATTTGTTGGATGTAATTTTTGTTTTGACCAATGAGTCTATTTTCTCTACAGTATTTTTAGCACCTGAGATTCTTTCTTCTGTCTCTTGTATTCTGTTGATTATACTTGTCTCTGTAGTTCCTGTCTGTTTAGCCAGATTTTAAATATCCAGAATTCCCTCAGTTTGTCTTTTCTTTATTACCTCTATTGCAGTCTTCAAGTCTTGAACTATTTGCTTCACCTGTTTGATTTTTTCTTAGTTTTCTTGGGTTTCTTTGAGGGATTTATTAATTTCTTCCAATTTTTTATTTGTCTTCTTTCATTTCTTTAAGGGAGTTTTCATTTCCTCTTTAAAGGTCTCCATCATTTTCATAAACTTACATTTAAAGTCATTTTCTTCTGGTTCTTCTAGGTTAGAATGATCAAGTCTTTCTATTGCATGACCATTGGGGTCTGGTGTTATCATGTTGCTTTTGAGGTTGTTGAAGGAATTCTTGCATTGTTGCCTATCCATCTCTTTCTTCAGATGAGTCCAGCAGTGTTCTTGGGTCTTGGTTCAATCCTTGCAATGGCTGTCTGAGTGTTTGGGAATTTTTCTTGGTCTGCTCTGTACTGTCAATGTCTGACTCAGAAAGCCGCTGAGGGCTCTATAAACCCACTCTCTTACTCTTCTCTCCAGGTTTTTCTCTTGGTGTTTTCTCTTGGTCCCTCAGTGTTATAGCAGCAGCTCTTGGTCCCCTCAGCATTGTAGCAATCTCTGAGCTCTTAGGTGGGGTGTCACTTTTAGCTTGCATGGTCAAGTAGATTGGGTTGGATTTTTGAGGAGCCTATTTTCAGGAAAAGACAAGGGAGTTGGTGGAGGGGCCTAGGATTTTGTCCCACTGTTGAGGTCCTAATGAGTGGTGTGTCATGTTGTGTGGCTGTTCACTCACTTCTTAAGTCCCCACAATATTGGAGCAAGCTGTATTTTAGAGATTCACTGAGGTTGCAGGGGAATAAGCATGGTTGGGGGTGGGTTGAGGCTAGTAGTTTATGGTAGTCACTGGATGGGTTTGGGTTTTGGGGGAGCTGGAAACTCTCTGCTGTCTGGCTAAAAAAGAGAGGCTTGCATCACCATGCCTCTCTCAACCTAGATGCATGAAAGTTTTTATTAAAAATTGGAGTAACATATGTTTGCTAAAATGATCTTTCAAGGTTAAAGTCATGAAGTGTAACATGAGTGGGGCCTGTTTGTTTGCGGGTTTCTTTCCCGCCCGGCCCCCCAGCTGTTTAGTCCCAGAGAAAATCACACTGTGATCCCTATAAGTTATTAAAGCTGATTGGCCCGTTAGGTCAGGCTTCTTATTGGCTAACTCTCACATCTTGATTAACCCATTTTTCTGATCTGTGTTAGCCATGTGGCTCAGTACCTTTTTCAGTGGGGCACTTCACATCCTGCTGCTTCAGTGATCTGGACAGGAGTGGGAGGAATTAACTTCCTCCTCCCCAGAATTCTCCTGCTCTCCTTGCATCATTTCTACTTTCTGTCTGGTTTTTCCACCTATACCTCCTGCCTGGCCAATCAGCGTTTATTTAAAACATGATTGACAGAACAGAGACAATTCTCCCGCATCAATGAAGAATAAGAAAAATGTTATAGTACTACCAACTAAAAATAATGTCATCAAATACATATCAGATTATCTGTACATACAGAAATGTGGATGACTGCTTGGTAAAAGAACTAACTGATACTGTAATTTATGTGTTTTACTGATCTTCAAGGGGATTTCTGTTTTCACAGTATAGGGGATAAGTTGTAATGAATAGAAAGCATCTTTTCATGGGATGAATCCTAATCTGTCAGATCCCAAGGGCGAAGGGAGAGAGTCGGAGGTGATCAAAGGCACCCAAATCATTTCCTGTTGCCTCTGTTGTGACTGAGGATCTCTGTGTCCCCCAAATCAAGAAGGTAAGTACCCCAGCCCTCAGCATGATGCTGTTTGTAAGAAGAACTCTAGAGAGGGGAATAGATCCTACACCATAAGTGTTCATGGATGGCATTTCTGCTCCCTAAAGGGCACACTGAAGATATTGCAGTCCCACCTGCCATTGAAGATCCAGACAGAAAGCAGGCATAGATGAATCAATGAGTAAGTTTGGTCAGACTCCAATCAGCGATGTCTTGATTGTAAACTTCATAGCACAGTGAGAAATAAGTGTTTAACACTTAACATTTGCGTGACACAATTTGGTGCAGCAGTGTTAGCTGCTCCAATGACTTCTGAATGCTCTAAAGGTCAAACCACTTGCACTCACCTTCTCATAAGCAGGCAAATAATGGTTCCTAGCTTTGTCCTTGGCCTTGGCAAGGCTAGCCTCTTTCTCAGTTGGGGAATGTAAGGTTGATGGAGAACTGAGTAATCCAAACCCTTCAGTATACATGTCAATGGTGAAAACAGACAGATATTCTGCCAGAACCCTCCTGCCTCAGATTTTACAGTCAAAAACCATAAAAGGCTGTGGTAAATTAGGTTCCCCTCTGACAGAGCTGTAGCGGCAGTAATAATAGATTTTTACTTGCACGTTAGCAATCCTTTTACAATTTGTACTGAGACAGGATCTCTTTATGTAGCTTTGTCTGACCTGTATATGTACTATGTAGACACACTGGCCTTAAACTCCCAGAATTCTCCTCCTTTTGTCACCAAGTGCTAAGATAAAGGCAAATGCCACCACCTCCAGTCACATTCCTATTTCAATGCCCTAAAGGGCTGGCAAGCAAGGCTGCTCTCTGACTCCATTCTTCTGTTAATGTCTGGCTCATTTCCTATTTATTGAACATTATAACTAACACATCTATGAATAACCCAGGAATGTATTTTTATTTCTCTTGCATATTTATCTAGTAATGTAACTGCTGGGTTATTGGAGACTCCATGTTTAACTTTCTGAGAAAACACCTACAGTTCCACAGAATATTCAGTTGGAATGGCATGGTCTATCACAAAAAAGAGGAGACCACATGATCAGTCTTGACAGATCAGAACAGCCTTCCCCAAAAAAGCTTCATGCAACCCTGGTACTTCTGTACCAGACTCTGTGAGCCACAATCAGCCTGACTGCATGTAGATTTACATGGTAAGCTAGGGTCATGACTGTAATTGTCAGAACTGGAAGAGAAGTTATTTGGATCCTTCTCTTTACTGCCCTTTGGGTCTATCTATCCAAACCTATTGGATAGAATGTTTCCTGTGAAGATGAATCAAAGGGATACCGGACTCCACCATCTCCTCTTCTACAGGACACCCACAACCCCTCCTATTCTTCCCCCAATTCCATAAGCATTCTTCTTAACTGAAGTCAGTGTATGCATGCCCAAACACCCAGGCATTGTGTCACGAGTCCTTTGCCATGGTTCTGTTCACTCAAGTCATGACGTAACTATTTCCCAGACTAAGTATTTCATACATACCTCTCTCCTTCATGTCCTTCCCATGGAGGGCACATTTGGTGGCAATGTGGCTGAGAATGACTCTGGTCTGCACCAGCTTCATTTCATCAGTCTCCACCATGGGCACCGAACGGAACATCAAACTCCCAGCTATTAGATGAAACAAAAAGATAAGAAAATACGATGTTTATGGGATATTATACTTATTATAATATACATATATACAAACACATAATTTGTTCCATAGTCAGACACAATCAAAAAAGGTGTTTGATTAAGTAACAAAAAAATTTGAAAGAACTAATTACTTGATAACTAACTTTTCAATGGAATAGCATTGAAAATTTTAGTTTTCTGCATTTTTAGCAGTTTATTTTATTAAAATTTTTATTTCATACTGACAAAACTTCTGTATTTTTTAAACAGGATGTTATGGTATATTAATTCATGTTGATGTATATTTTAAGAAGGGGTAGAAGGA